TCAATTCTGCCATTCAGAGCGAATATTTGTCCCAGCAGATCAGCGATTAATGGCTCCGTCCTCCTGAGCAGTAGAGAAATCCCCTCCGCACAACATCTGAAGACCGTAATGTTGTGTGAGGTATCAAGTCAAGGGGAACAGTTGTGTAGGTTAGTGAAAGTGATGGTTGAAATCGTTCCCAAAATCATCCAAAACTTTCTCATAACAGAAGGTCACTCAGAATAGCGCCTCCATAAGAAAAAGAAGTCTGTCCAAGTAGAAGTTCCAAGTTTGCCGAAGACTGAAGATGTCCTCTTAGCAGCCATTCTCCCCAGTGATGTCGGCTGCGTAAAAGGTATGAACCTTTCAGTTGTTCGCCCACTGAATCCTACCCAGTCACCAACAATTTCGCCATTCAGAGCGAATATTTGTCCCAGCAGATCAGCGATTAATGGCTCCGTCCTCCTGAGCAGTAGAGAAATCCCCTCCGCACAACATCTGAAGACCGTAATGTTGTGTGAGGTATCAAGTCAAGGGGAACAGTTGTGTAGGTTAGTGAAAGTTATGGTTGAAATCGTTCTCCAGAAGAAAAAGAAGCCGTTCAGCAGAAGTTCCATAGTTTGCCGAAGGGCACTGAAGATGTGTCTTTAGCTGGCCATCCTCCCTATTTAATGTCGGCTGCGTGAAAGAAGTATGAAGCTCAGTTGTTCGTCAACCAAAACGGTTGGGAATTTTTTCCCCAGTCCCATTCAAATTCTGCGTTCAGAGCAATATCATGTTACCGACCAAATCATCGAGGAGATTTCTCCGCCCGCCTTAGGAGCAGCAGGAAAGTGCCCCTTCGCATAACATCTGGAAGGTGTCTAATGTTCTGTGCTGAGCTGTCAAGCAAGGGCGAACAGTTGTTGTGGTTTCAGTTGAAATGTTATAGTTGACAACAGTTCATAAAAACCATCCAAACTTGGCCGTCATCCACAGAACGGTCCACTCTCAGAATAGCGCCTCCAGAAGAAAAACAAGTCCGTCTAAGCAGAAGTTCCAAGTTTGCCGAAGACTGAAGATGTGCTCTTAGCGGCCATCCTCCCTTAGTAAGTCGACTGCGTAAGACGGTATGAACCTTTAGTTGTTTCGTCAACACAACCTTTGATCAGTCTGATGTTATGGGTTAGACATCGTTCCCAAAATCATCCACAACTTTCTCATCACAGAAATTCAGCGCCTGCAGAAGAAAAGAAGTCTGTCCGAGCAGAAGTTCAAAGTTTGCCGAAGACTGAAGATGGCTCTTAGCAGCCATCCTCTCTTAGTGATGTCGACTGCGTAAAAGGTATGAACCTTTAGTTGTTCGCCAACCAGAATCTGATCAGTCCCATTCAACTTCTGCCATTCAGAGCGAATATTTGTCCCAGCAAGTCAGCGAGGAATCGCTCCATCCACCTAAACAGTCTAGAAATTCCCTCCACACAACATCTGAAGGTTCTAATGTTGTGTGTGAGCTGTCAAGGCAAGGGGAACAGTTGTGGATGTTTAGTGGATTGTTTATGTTGACACCATTTCCAAAACCATCCACAACTTTCTCATCACAGAAGGTCACTCTCAGAATAGCGCCTCCAGAAGAAAAAGAAGTCCGTCTAAGCAGAAAAGTTCCAAGTTTGCCGAAGACTGAAGATGTGCTCTTAGCGGCCATCCTCCCTTAATTAATGTCGGTCTTGCCGTGAAGTAGGAACTTTCACGTTCGTGTCGTAAACTGAAACCTACCAGTTCATCAAACAATTTCGCCCTTCAAGAGGCGAAATTTTGTCCCGCAAATCAGCGTGGAATGGCTCCATCACCTAAACAGTAGAGAAATTCCCTCCACACAACATCTGAACGCTCTAATGTTGTGTGAGCTGTCAAGGCAAGGGGAACAGCTGTGTTGGTTAGTGGATGTTATGGTAGACATCGTTCCCAAAATCATCCACAACTTTCTCATCACAGAAATTCAGCGCCTGCAGAAGAAAAGAAGTCTGTCCGAGCAGAAGTTCAAAGTTTGCCGAAGACTGAAGATGTGCTCTTAGCGGCCATCCTCCCTTATAATGTCGGCTGCGTGAAAGGTAGGAACTTTCAGTTGTTCGTAAACTGAAACCTACCCAGTCATCAACAATTTCGCCTTCAGAAGCGAAATTTTTCCACAGCAAATCAGTCGAGGAATTGGCTCGTCCACCTTAACAGTAGAGTATATTCTCCCTCCCACACAACATGAACGCTGTGGTGAGCTGTCAATGCAAGCGGGGAAACCAAGCTGTGTGTCATGTTTAGTGGATGTTTATGGTTGACACCATTTCCAAAACCATCCACAACTTTCTCATCACAGAAGGTCACTCTCAGAATAGCGCCTCCAGAAGAAAAAGAAGTCCTGTCCAAGCAGAAGTTCAAAGTTTGCCGAAGACTGAAAGAGTGGCTCTTTAGCAGACATCCCCCTTAGTAAGGTCGGCTGCGCTAATAAAGGTAGGAAAACCTTCAGTTGTTCGATAAAACTAAAACTACCAGTCACCCAACAATTTCGCCTTCAGAGCGAATATCTGAACGCTGATCAATACCTTGGAAAAATGGGTTTCAGCTGATTGTTCAAACTGGTCTCAACAAATGGGAACTCAACTGCAGCAAAATTTCGCCCTTGGGGGTGTCCTTTTTAACACATTGGCGACAAGGCGCCATTTCGCGTGTCTGCCGCGTGGGACAAAGCAGTTTTTCCCTATTTTCGAAGAATGCGCATAAATGCTAGGGCGTTTATACGCCAAAAAAATTGAAGAGAAGGTCCAGGAACTTTCATTGCAGAAGCTAGCAAGGGTTCGCTATTCTTGTTTACTTTCAAGATAAACCCTTAAATTTTATGGAATACTCCCGCCTCATTCACGTGTAGCGTGGGAACAAAGTCGCAAAAAAAAGGAATATTTTCGCGCCGTGGTAGATTGGATCCGATTCAGAACTGCTATTGTTGAAAGTTACCTTATCACATTAGCTATCTGCCTGTGGATCTTCAGCTTTAGTCACCCGAATATTGCCTCTTTTTCCTGGGAAATCACTTTCTTTTATCTCCTCGGTAAAATACTCTCAATGACACAACTGCTTGTTTAACAACTACTGCATATTCCACAATGCTTTCCCGGACAATAAGTGCATGGTGAAAATTTGAAATGTTTTCAAATGGGTTTCTTCCAGGATTTTGTTCGAATTGCTTCTGAAAATTTCTAAGCCGGAGGATGAAAAATAGTTTTCGTGTAGAATGGTGCATTGTGGTAACAATGAATGCTGGAATAATGACATCCCCACTCAAAACACCTTTTGAAAATTACCACTATGCACTTAACTACATAAATCAGAAAGGAAAACCGAGATTACAGCATGATTATCAAGTTTCGAATAAGTTTCGGCGTCCCAACCAAGAGGCCGCGACGCGTACGCTTCGCGCTTGGCCGCAGAGGCCGCGGCCTCCGCGGAGGCCACGGCGGCCGCGGAGGCTGCGGAGGCCACGGCCTCCGCGGCCTCTGCGGAATTTCCAAATCGATACGTATACTTTGCTTGCTCTGAAAATTCCGCAGAGGCCACGGATGCCGCGGATGCCGTCTGTATGAACGCGGCCTTGCGCAGCGTTGCCAACAGGCATAGGCTAACAGACTCTAAAGACTGGGAACAAGTGGAGATAAAACGTCAGAAAATCTCTCAAGGTTCCATGGTGCATATAAGCTGATAAGAAATTGAAAAACTGAACAGAATTGTCAAGCATGACGTGGTGAAGCGTAAAGTAGCTATGGATACCCACGTGAAGGATAGACATGATGACGCAGGGACAGCTAATAGGATACGGTTGGTGGATTAACGGAAAGACAAAAACTGGGGGGAGCTGTGAACTTCTCTACAATTTCATCACATCAAGGAAGCCATTCTATCACATAGAAGGGCTAAACCCCTAAACTGAAAGGGAAATCACTGAAAAGGGAGTTCTAATTTTTTGTGGTGTGACAGAGAATGAACAGATGAACTATTGAGGAAAACAAAAACATACTGTGCCCTTGATGAGATCCGCCAATCATCGATGAAGGTCCGAGCAAACTGTTTGGTCCGACGATGCTAGACGGACCCATAATAGAGCCAGGTCCCAGTACAGAACCTGGCCCACCATGTTGACCCAACACTGACCCAGGGCCTCCATGGCCACCTGCGAAAAATTTCAGTATAATTACTACTCATATATAAGGCATTTAGTTCAGATCAATTCTGTGAAGGACACCGTAAAAAGCAGTTACCAAAAAAAAGCCCACCCAATATTGATGATGGTCCATGAGCTGGGGTATCACCACCTAAACTACCTAACACCGAAGGGTGAGGGCTGTTCAGGTTCATCGTAAGTGATTATAACCCTGAAAGCCTGAATTTTTTTTAACCATAACAGAAGAAGGAAATCAATGAATGGTTTAATCGGTATAAGCAACGACATCTACG